TGTGGACTTGGATTACCGGCATGGAGTTGGACTAGACGAGGCAAGACGAGGTCGTGTGGTCCTAGGAGATGAATGGCACCTTCACCACAAGATCAGCTTATGCAGCAAAGTTTTGGGGCCGGGAAATTGATCCAACGGAGGAGTTAACATGGAAAGCTAAGGCTCCGCTGCACTGCAGCTTTTTCGTGTGGCTGGCCCTGCAGAATAGGTGCTGGACCTCCAACCGCCTAGTGAGGAGAGGACTCGACCATCAGGACCATTGCCCGTTGTGCAATCAGGAGGAGGAAAGCATAGATCATCTACTCATACGATGTGTCTTTGCTATACATATCTGGGATGTGATTTTCCAGGCTATGGGCAAGCTAGGCTGGGTGCCCACGATGAATGACATGCTCGCGGGATGGTGCACGATCCAAAACACAAATGAGGAACACAAGCGGATGCTCAATGCTCTACATATTCTAGCCATGTGGGAGATTTGGAAACATCGCAATGCAATTGTGTTCGAGGGAGCTACGCCATCGATGAACCATGTGCTCCATCGCTTTGCAGAGGAAGGGTGGAATTGGAAACAAGCGGGACTACTTAAAGGAGATCTTGTCGGCTTCTTCAATCAGGTGGAACGGCGGGCTAGTGCAGCAAGTGCTGAGAAGTAGAGAGTAGAGAGTAGGGTGTAGGGGTGGTGATGTTGTTCATGTAATTTCGTGTAACAATATCGTGGAGGGGTTCTTCACTCCATTCCTTCTTTAATATATACTAGTAGACTGCTCGTGCGTTTCCACGGGCCGAAAATGAATATGTAAACAATGCTCAATTTATAGCTGCAATCATCTTCCGTTTTAAACGTTGTCGCGGGCCTCGTTGTAAGCTTTTTTCTGGTTTCTTGCTCCTCCATTTTGTAGCTGCAATTATCTTCTATTCCTACACATGCTTCCAATCCTATGTTTTGGATACCTCCAGATCGAATGCGGCCCAATTCTTTCTATCCTTGTCTTTCTTCTCGTGGAGGCAGCATCTCCTTAACCATCAGTGAAAAACAAAGCGACCTATCTCTTGTCGTCCCTCCTCCCCATTCACCTTTATCTCTTTTTTTGAAACGAGGCAAAAGACTTGCCATTTTCATTGATTAGAGAGTGAGAATTGCATGTTAATTGACGGGAAACCATGCTAAAACTGATATATCCAACCCACATAACATGGGTACACCAGCCAACCTGGCTATCGACATATAACATAAAGCTACAAAGAGGAAAAGACATCTGGCGAGTAGTCGCAAGCGTCATCATCATCATCGGTTACCTTCGAACGAGCAACTCCGACTTCACCATAGACCTTCATTGTCGAAGCCAACCCCACAAGCAGCTGCACCGAAACCATGATGACACATGCCAATAGAAGGCCACACGCGCAAACAACCGATAACTCCGACTCTGACGACGAGCATCACAAGTGAAATGTGCATAACTTGCGGCGCTGCAGCTTTGACTTCAAAGCAACCAAACAACCAGTGAAAGAGCACCTCGGACACGTCGAGAAGATCTGAGTACCGAAGCCCGAGCCATGAACGAAGCTCCTCTTGACTCCATCATTGTTGCCAAACAAACACCATCTCCCCCGAAATGGATGCCTCAACAAACTACACGACGAAGATGCCGCAAAGCATGCGGCGATCATGTCGCCATCCACCAGTCTCCGGGTAGTGGCGGACTCTGAGACGATGCCCCAAAGAAGGAAGAAGACGTGAAGGCCCCTTTGTCGCCTGATCTCGAGGATCTGAGCTTTCCCTCTGGAGACAAGGTCATGGGGACGGGCCGAGAGGAGCACCACACAGCAACAACGCTTCCAAGAAAGAGCACGACGCCCACGGGCATCGCCGTCACCGGACTCGGCAAAGGCCAAACATAGGATTTCTCCCGGGATACTCAACCATCAACTGCTCGCACCGGCACAACAAACAAACCCCATCCTGCCGAGGCCGACAATGAACTTGTCATGGGGTCCCACGATGCACCACGTCTAGATGCACGCACCACCCCTCCCCCCCAGCCAAAGCCGCTAACACCAAATCTGGGGCCATCGCTCTAGCAGCATCCACCATGCCACAACCACGTCGGGCTAGCAAGATGGCCAGATTCATCGCACCAAGCCTGGAGGGGGCCGCCACCCCGCCCCATCCCACAGAGAAGAGCTACTAGGCCATAGCCTGAGAAACCCGCAACAGCCACAACCCCACCCTTGGAGTGGGTAGCAAGTAGCCAACCGTCGGATCCACAGCTAGGAGCCGTCGGAGCGCTACGAACCGCCACGCCGTCCCTGCCAGATGTCGTCGAGGCGCCCCAAGGCCGCTCCCGAAGCAACATGAAGAAGGACACCCATCTCCCGCTTGCCTTGTCGTCGCCCACGCAGCCGAAGGGGACCGCCGCATCTGCAGTCACATCGACCAGACCAGTGTCGCGACCAACCTTGGGGCCGCAGCCGCAAGCTCCCAGCACCATTGTCAGAATGATGTATGGGTGCCCCGCCGCTGCCATGCAAGCGCCAACGGCAGTGGCGGCAGGCCGCTTGATTTGGCCTATCCTCTGGCGGCTATGTTTGGTGCCCTGGTGCCGCCAGGAGCGGCACTCGAGCGGGGTCTTTTCTCTATGGGACCAAATTTTACCTCTATCTCTTCATCCACCCTTACTCTAGTATTGTTGTCAAATCCCAAACTTTATCTTCTCGCTTTACCAACATTTGACGTTTTTATTTTCAACTTTAGGAAATCAATAAAATGGTCCTCATGTACTGCGAAAGATGGCATATTGTCTGCTTTAAAAATGAAACAATTCTCACAGGCACTATTCAAGGAAGAAAAAGAATACAGTTAATTAGCAAATGCCATATGTGTAGACCGGAAAATGGTAAACACTCAAAGGTAGTTGCCGCACCCATTACTTCTTTTTCTTTTTTGCGCCTTGTCGCACCCATTACTAACCGCAAGGAAATTCCACATTACCTATAATGGTCTGTATCGCCATGGGGTGGAACTTAGGAGCACAGGACGAAGGCCGGATGGGATAAGGGAGGGCGTGAAACCTAGTAGCCCTGTTCTGCGGAAAAGGGAATGGTAGAGAGAAAGGACATACCATTATGTATAGGAATTTGGACAAGCTTTGTGTAGGTAATGTTCAATATTAATGTGCGAACAACAATGTTAACAATTTCAACATGATAACTGCCATGGTGTACTAACCAGGAACTACTTACTGAAGACCACATAAGTGCGACTTTTGGCATTTAATGAAGAAGAATGTATTCACAATCAGAGAGGTATGTTCCGGTTCTTATATGATTATGGGTTATAATTTGACCGTTCTTATCATGGGTTATAAAACCGAAAACATTATTAATTATATGCATAAAATAAATAAATGCGAAACTTCATTGTAAATTCATCTTTGCCACTCCATGTAATCAGAAACAAAAAAAATATAAACACGTTGATGCATAAGACAAATGATGGTCTTGAGGCAGGAGGGTGAGAGGAGGGTGACGGGACCTAGTGTGTCTCCACTGTGGTCTTCTCGTATGTTCCTATGGTGATACGACGTAAATTCAATGGTGAAAAGTAATCAAAGTGGGTTCTCCCTAAATCCAATTGTCCAAATCAGAATATCAAACAAATTTAATTACAAAGTTCTACAGATTAAAGATAACTGACAGACATTAGTACAAGAGCATAACTGTTTGCTGATGGCAACTATAATCTAAAATCCAAAAGCTTAAAAAACCTCAAAGTTGAAATACTGCATCCTTGCAGCTATGTCTCCACTGACAAATTGACTTCTTGCTAATAGAGTAGCCCAACGATTGGTGTTAAGCAACAAAAATGTCCGCAGTATGGTTACTGCACTGATACTTTCATTTTTATCGTATGCCCACATTATCATATAGTAACACACCGGTAGTATCCACTTCATCTGCAAATAACAACAATAAAATTTAGCATGAAAAAGCATAATTTATATATGACAAATTGTATCGGTTGTACAATCTTTTATTTTGAGGCAAACATTGTACAGTTTGTACTTTGTACTACTTGCCAATTCACAATATGTACAGTGTGGTAGCAGCAATCGATCATCATTCTCTGTTCATCCTCTTTCTCGGGACCAGAACAAGCATACCGCCAGTCAATCAACCTTATATAAGGCCCTAATGAAAAGTGAAAACTGGGAAGAAAGAGCATCACCTACAATAGTTAGTATTCTGATCATCTGATGCAGACTTGGGTATGAACCGTGGCAGTAGAGTTATCAATGTCAATGTCGACAACAACCCAACTGAAGCAGCATGACTAATAAATATATTTATTGGGTGTCATACAACTTAGAATAATTTTAAAGTATTTTTCATGTTTTCTTAACAAACCAAATGAAGCAGCATGAGTAATCAATAGATTTATTGGAGCTAGCAAAGCGGTGCATATATATCTGACACCAGCTATTTTTCACAATTGATGATTGTTTCTTGTTACTATTAATTAAACGATCTTCTCTCCTCCATTATCATGGAGAGTACGTACGTCAGTGCAATCTCAAGCAATCTGAGGATCGTGCAGAAATTCTCATCCACTTCTAGCTTGCGTGCCTGGTGTAAAATATAGTGCAAGGTCTACAGGTAAGCGATTATAGGAATCCAACAGATATAAACCATTGTCACCCACAAACCTGATGTACATCACTACTCCATGCTATGTCCATTGGACAATCTAATAAGCCGATCTAATTGGAATTTGGAAAGCCTAACCCCAGTAGAGCTGATATTCGTTGTCGATCCAGGCAGAGCCGGTCCTGAGGTTTTGGGGGCCCGAGGCGAAACTACAATCCGGGGTCTTTTTGGGCCCTTAATATAAATGTCTAATTGGTAATCATCATATGTAGATATAATTTTTATCAAAGAAAATAATTAAGTGCATACAAAATGATTGCGCATATCACATAATGTATTACATATTACGTTCAAAAATTTCTCCTAACATTCTGAGATGCAAAATTGCTAATGATAGTATCAATATCAATTTCATCAAGCAATTTTTTCTCAATGCCTAAAATTGCCAAGCTATTTAACCTCTCTTGCGACATTGTAGATCTCAGGTAGTTTTTCAACAATTTTAACTTTGAAAAACTTTTTTTCATAGGCATAGTAAAGAAAATCTGATATGCAATAAAAATAAATATGAGCTCATGATCACTCACATTGCTATCATCCATGTTGATGTCAACATTGCCTTCTATAAGAGTATGACCATCATCTTCCTGATTGACATTAGTTTGGTCACCCGAAAGAACTATCGCCAACTCTTCTGAATTTCTTGGAGTGCTTGTATCGCTCTCTTAATATTTAAAAAGAGATCCTCTCAGTTCTTCTATCTCCTCATCCGCCACATTCTACCTGAACTCGACATGACCCCTGCTGAAATTGAAAGGAACAAATTAGCTATAAAATTAGTGCAAAGCTAATTAAAATATTGTATAGAAAATCATCTAATGTAATGACAATCTGCTAGAGCATAGTATGGTAAATTCTCTCTGTAATCTAATCTAGTTACCTGTGCGTAATGATTTGAGCGCCCTAATAATAATTCCCTGTTAACGGAGAAATTGGATCTTTACCCTAACAACAAGCGCAAATCATCAAACCCCAACGTAAAAGTGACGCAAAAAGTCCAATCCCTCCTATTAACCTGTTCGATCAATCAACAAGTTGGGAATCAGGATTAGAAAGAAAAGAAACATGATTTACAGGTAGAAGAACATGCGAGTGAAGAGGGTGTGTGGAGAAGTACCTGCTGCAGTCGTCGGGTTGTTCGTGAGGAGGCTGTGTCGAAGAGGATTAGACGAACAGGAACAACGGAACAACCAAAAGGTTAGGGAAAGACCGATCTGAAGTTATAGGAAATCGTGATTAGTTTTTTGGACGCGTCTAGCGGGCGGCTGGGCGCCCGCTAGCGCTCCTCGGCGACCTGTTTTCTTTTCAAATAGTATACGTAATCATCTCTTGATTAAAAAGGACACTGCTAATTAATCATCCCTACATAGTCTCTTCTCACGTGATAGATGGCTGCATGCCGCTGCATTAATGTTCCTTATATTCATTCTTTGTGCATTAATTTTTGGTTTTCAAAATTATAAAAGACATATCTTTTAAACCGCGTGTCGAAATTCAGATCTGTTTTCACCATTAAAACCCTCGCGATGTCCTCTTCAAAAGTAGATCCCACATGGGGATATTTCGACGAATTAGTCTTCCTGCCAACTAAACATCAATGTGTGTGCAATTAGACTACATTGTCGCGCCAACTGAGCATATGTGTGTGCAAGTAGTCTTCCTGTCAATTAAACATCAATGTTTGTGCAACTAGACTACATTGCCACGTCAATTGCACATATGTGTGTGCAACTAGTGTCCTGCCAACAAAACATCAATGTGTGTGCAACTGGACTACATTACAAGCCAACTGATCATATGTGTGTGTGCAACTAGTCTTTCTGCCAACTAAACATCAATGTGTGTGCAATTAGACTACATTACAAGTCAACTAAACATTAATATGTGTGCAACTAGACTACATTACAAGTCAACTAAACATTAATGTGTGTGCAAGTAGACTACATTACAAGCCAACAAAGCATATATGTGTGCAACTAGTCTTCCTGCCAACTAAACATCATTTTGTGTGCAACTAGATTACATTACACATCAAAATTGTCATGGTCGGGACAGTAGACTAGTTGCACATCAAAATTGTCATGGTTGCTAGATTACAACCTCATGGAAGTTGAATCATGCAGATCAAAAAATTGGTTTTGAAAAAAGTTGCACGATATAGTACTAAAGTTGCACAATACAGTACTAAAGTTGCACCATATAGCAAGAAAGTTGGCATCAAAAAAATTTCGTCGAAACATACCCATGTGGGATCTAGTTTCAAAGATCTTGTCACGAGAAATCCAAGGGTAAAGACGGATCTGAATTCCGACACGTGGTTTAAAAGATATGACTTTTAAAAAATTTGAAACCCAAAATAAATAGAGGTGAATCTGTTTATTCCGCTACATGTGACAAGTCTAACAGCATTTAATGCCAGCAGGCACATGCACTAGCAGACAAAACATGCATGTACGTATGCGAGTGACAGCAGCCACTCGTTCTCCCCAACAAGCGCGCGCCCACTTTTTAGATTTTAGGTAGTTTTTTAGGGAAAGAAATCGTGATTAGCGAATCAAACCATTTCTTTTTCTCTCCGGTCTCCACGATACATGCATGTACCAGGCCCATCATATCTTTTTTTAGTTTCCTAGGCTAGCACGCCAAAGGCTTAGCGAGGCGCTGAGATTGACTCCAATTTTTTTCCACTCCAAGACCTGTATGCCTGTACGTACGTATACTTGGAGGGGGCCCCTAACTTTTGGGGGGCCCGGGGCGGCCACCCCGTTCGCCCCTCCCCAGGACCGGCCCTGGATCTAGGAGAAGCATGCCAACACAGCGAAAGCGGCATCCATATTGGTTCGTGACAAATGGCGGCGACGTCACCCACCTCCTTACAGGATGAGGCAGCTGTCACCTCGTGGCAGTGGCCATCTGTCCTCAACAATGAGTCAACTCTGGTGTCCTTGCCAGAGGAGGTCCTCATATGCGGCGGATACATGGGAAATCAGTGCGCCATAGTGATAGAGAGGCCACCATCGACAACTGTCTACACGATTTGCGCGGCCAAGGCCACATAGATGCTCGATGCGACAGAGGCAAAGGCGACCACGACTCTTAACCGGACAACGCCGGATCAGACCGAGCTCTTGGAACCCTCGATACCTAGCGAAGGTGATGATGACACGATGCCAAGGAGGATGGTGGCAGCCTGCGGGGAGTGAAGGAAATATGCCCTAGAGGCAATAATAAAGTTATTATTTATTTCCTTATATCATGATAAATGTTTATTATTCATGCTAGAATTGTATTAACTGGAAACATAATACATGTGTGAATACATAGACAAACAGAGTGTCACTAGTATGCCTCTACTTGACTAGCTCGTTGATCAAAGATGGTTATGTTTCCTAACCATAGACATGAGTTGTCATTTGATTAACGGGATCACATCATTAGGAGAATGATGTGATTGACTTGACCCATTTCGTTAGCTTAGCACTTAATCGTTTAGTTTGTTGCTATTGCTTTCTTCATGACTTATACATGTTCTTGTGACTATGAGATTATGCAACTCCCGTTTACCGAGGAACACTTTGTGTGCCACCAAACGTCACAACATAATTGGGTGATTATAAAGGCGCTCTGCAGGTGTCTCCGAAGGTACTTGTTGGGTTGGCGTATTTCGAGATTAGGATTTGTCACTCCAATTATCGGAGAGGTATCTCTAGGCCCACTCGGTAATGCACATCACTATAAGCCTTGCAAGCATTGCAACTAATGAGTTAGTTGCAGGATGATGTATTACGGAACGAGTAAAGAGACTTGCCGGTAACGAGATTGAACTAGGTATTGAGATATCGACGATCGAATCTCAGGCAAGTAACATACCGATGACAAAGGGAACAACGTATGTTGTTATGCGGTTTGACCGATAAAGATCTTCATAGAATATGTGGGAGCCAATATGAGCATCCAGGTTCCGCTATTGGTTATTGATCGGAGACATGTCTCGGTCATGTCTACATTGTTCTCGAACCCGTAGGGTCCGCACGCTTAAGGTTTCGATGACAGTTATATTATGAGTTTATGAGTTTTGATGTACCGAAGGAGTTCGGAGTCCCGGATAAGATCGGAGACATGACGAGGAGTCTCGAAATGGTCGGGACGTAAAGATCGGTATATTGGACGACTATATTCGGACATCGGAAAGGTTTTGAGTGATTCGGGTATTTTTCGGAGTACCGGAGAGTTACGGGAATTCGCTGGGGAGTATATGGGCCTTATTGGGCCATACGGGAATAGAGGAGAGAGGCCAAAAGGAAGGAGGTGTGCGCCCCCCCTCTGGTCCGAATTGGACAAGGGGTGCAGCCCCCTTTTCCTTGTTCCTCTCCCCCTCTTTCCTTCTCTACTACTCCAAGAAGGGAAGGAGGAGTCCTACTCCGGGTGGGAGTAGGACTCCCCCCTTGGCGCGCCCTCCTCCTAGGACGGCCGCCTTCCCCCTTGCTCCTTTATATACGGGGGCAGGGGGCACCCCAGAGACACAACAATTGATCATTGATCTCTTAGCCGTGTGCGGTGCCCCCCTCCATCATAATCCTCGATAATATTGTAGCGGTGCTTAGGCGAAGCCCTGTGATGGTAGAACATCAAGATCGTCACCACGCCGTCGTGCTGACGGAACTCTTCCCCGACATTCTGCTGGATCGGAGTTCGAGGATCGTCATCGAGCTGAACGTGTGCTAGAACTCGGAGGTGTCGTAGTTTCGGTGCTTGATCGGTCAGGCCGTGAAGACGTACGACTACATCAACTGCGTTGTTATAACGCTTCCGCTTTCAGTCTACGAGGTACGTGGACAACACTCTCCCCTCTCGTTGCTATGCATCACCATGATCTTGCGTGTGCGTAGGAATTTTTTTGAAATTTCTACGTTCCCCAACAGTGGCATCCGAGCCTAGGTTTTATGCGTTGATGCAATATGCACGAGTAGAACACAAGTGAGTTGTGGGCGATATAAGTCATACTGCTTACCAGCATGCCATACTTTGGTTCAGCGGTATTGTTGGATGAAGCGGCCCGGACCGACATTATGCGTACGCTTATGCGAGACTGGTTTTACCGCCGTGCTATGCACACAGGTGACTAGCGGGTGTCAGTTTCTCTAACTTTAGTTGAACCGAGTGTGGCTACGCCCGATCCTTGCGAAGGTTAAAACAGCACCAACTTGACAAACTATCGTTGTGGTTTTGATGCGTAGGTAAGAACGGTTCTTGCTCAGCCCGTAGCAGCCACGTAAAACTTGCAACAACAAAGTAGAGGACGTCTAACTTGTTTTTGCAGGGCATGTTGTGATGTGATATGGTCAAGACGTGATGAGATATAAGTTGTTGTATGAGATGATCATGTTTTGTTGAAGTTATCGGCAACAGGCAGAAGCCTTATGGTTATCTCTCTATTGCATAAGATGCAAGCGCCAAATAATTGCTTTACTTTATCGCTATGCGATAGCAATAGTTGCAAGAGCAATTGTTGGCGAGACAACCATGTGATGACACATTGATA